ATTTGATTTGAATATCTAATTGAGAATCATTTAACCATATCTCAAATAATTTCCATTTACTTAAATAGGCCTTAGGTGTGTTTTTCAATAAACATAATTTTGGAATGAACTATTTAACAAATTGTTTGTGAGTTTCTTTACGTTCAAGAAACTGTATAGCTGTCTTTACTTCATATAACCAACGTGACCGCATTAGTTTTTGATATTGATTCATATCAAAATTAAGAAGTGTTTTATAAAGATCATAGATTATTTCAGCTTTCATTTCTAATGGATTATCTTTATTAGTCTTATCATATCCATTATGAAGTTTCCATACCAGATAGAGCAAATTAAATGGATGAGATTGTTTACTGAATTCTATAATAGTTGTCAATTTTCCAAATGCAATATCTTCAAAAGTAGTAAGAATAATATAAGCAACATGAAGACTATAAGGAATTCGAAAGCATTGATTTTTTGTTATTTTAGCATAAAGTTTAACTGCACCATTATTTTTTCCTGTCATATAATTTGTATTATCTGAAAGAAATGTTTGACATATTCTTGTATTAATGGAATATTTGTTACAAGTATCTATAATTGTTTGAGCAACTGTTTTTGTATCATAAGTAATCAAATCCTTCATTTCAACCAATGACACATCTGGCAAATTCTTTGTTTCATTCCAATACATAAAACAAATTATAAAGACTTTTGCAGAACCTCTTGTTGATTCATCAGCTAAAATACCAAGAGTATAAAATTTTGAATTATTGCAATACAAGAATTCATTTGTCTTTAATTCTGAAATTTCTTTGTTCTAACATATAATTGACTGTAATGAAAATACTGAAAAAGCTGATTCATTAGTCAGAAATTCTATAAAAGTTCGTGTATATTGTATAATATCACGAAAGAACATTCTTCCAATCTGAGATAAGTGTGTAATTAATATCATTGCTTTACTACTATAGTGTCTTTAATTATCTAAAAAAAGAGAATTGAAATATGGTTTGATTGAATTGCTTGAAAAAGGTTTTTTTTTTCTTATATTAAAATGAATTTTTGCAATTTGTTTAGTTTATTTTTTTCTTACACACCCAAGTTTGCCACCAAGTGATTGAATTTGATGAAGTGTATTAGAGTTCTTTTTTTTCTAATTGTTTAACTTGCTTTTTTATAATTGAATTCTCTTTAGCTAATACTGCAACAGAGGAGTTAGTTTATAAATTGAACATGTTATAAATTCAGCTGCTTTGTTTTGCAAATGGGTGGAAAGGATTTGACCTTGATTTTTGCCTTTTGGATAGCGCATTTTATTTAAAAAGTGATTGGTTGACTTAACTTCCATTTCTGACAATTCATCAATTGTTGTATAAAGAGTACACCATTCTTTTGTTATTTCTGAATTATTCAGTTTTGTTATTTGCTCTAATACATTATCTAATTTTGGTTCATCCATCTCATTTATAATTTCATTGATTTTTTGTTTTTTATCATTTTTATTTGCTTCTAATTTTTGAGCTTGTATTTTGTGAGCTTTTTTCAAGTAACGAGCACAATGTAAAAGTCTTCTCATTAAAAAATCTGAAATCTATAAAATTCAATTACACATACTTTTAGTGACATTTATATAATAATAAAATTCAAATATATTCCGTGAAAACCTCAAGAGCAATGCAATACCTTGCTTTTTTAAAAATATTTAAAAACAAAAACTTTTCCTATAAAGAAGTTGTTCAGAAATAGCTTTTTTGTTATTTTTAAAATACGAATAGCTTTTTTTTAACAAAAAGCAGCCTATTGTACAAAAAAAACAGTTATTTGGGATCTTTTTGTGAAATTTGGAAAGAAATTAATGAAAAAAATCCAAAGTAATTGAAGTTCAAAAAAGGTATCGATTTAATAGGAAATTTATTATAAAAATCAGTTTAACTTTAATGGTTATAGTTTATCACGATAAATCTCTAATAGTAAATTTTATATGATACTTTATATAAGTTTTGATTTACATATTTGATGAAACATCCTATCATAACGTGAATAATCTTTTTTTTTTATCACAGAAAATGTTTTTGTTTAAAGAACTCCAATATCATATCAAGAAATTGGGTTATTATTTCAGTTGTATAAAAATGTGAAATATTTGAAACGAAAGAAAAAAATCCAAGTCTTCCTAATATTGAACTTAATAATATAAATGCTAATACTGATAATCACGTCTTTAATTTTATTAGTAGACTCTATATACATATCAGTATAAAGAGTAGGCATTATAACGAACTCATCCTATACTGAATTAAACTCTACAGAACAAAGGGTTTATTATATCTAGTGGCGACTATATTTTTAATAGTTAAACTTAATTATTAATTTAAAAATGTAATTAAGGATTATAAAGATTTAATTTATTTAAAATCAGCTAAGTTATCAAATACATTCTTACATTACTTCTTTAAACATATTCAAATTTAACAAATAACATTCACATATGTTCTGGACCTATTCATTTTGGCAAAGTAATTTTTCGTTTAAACCTATACTTAAAATTTCTTTTGGAAAAAGTTTAAAGATTTATTTTATTTTATTTTTAAATTACACATTTTGATAAAAGATATGTTAAACCCTTGTAATTGCAATGATAGCAAATTTATTGATGCCGGAAATGTATAAATACATTAAACTTATCTATCTAAGAAATTTATATAAAAGTTTTTAAGAAATTACATTAGCCATTAAATTAACCATCAAATTAGCCGTTAATTAACCGGTAAATTAAACAGCTAATAATTATTATAACTGGTTAATCAAATAATTAATCAGTTAATCATTAAATAATTATTGAATCTCAGAAAACTATACTAGTAGAATAATAACATTATTTTACCTTTACTCATGTTTGATTGTGAATAAAAATAAATGTGATAAAATTAAGGTTTGATTGAGTTAGACGATTTATTTAAAATTATTATTATTATTATTATTTTTTGATTACCAAAATCACTGGAACAGCTAAAAATATTTGAGACTTTTCCAAAAATATTTATAAGAATTCAGAGAAGCCATCCAAAATATTATGAGAAAAAAAATTGTGTCATTTAACTAGGGAATATTGATCTGAACTTAGCGATATTCAACTGAGATTTTTTTATGATTATAATGATTGACTATCTTATGACTCTTGAACAGCTTTTTGATAACTAAAAAATTTCTATTGTTAAAATACTGGCAATTCTACTTAACTACAGTACTAAAAATAACTTTCATTTTTACTTAATTTATGAAACATTTATAGTTTTAGAAATATTTGATAACTTTCATTAACGGTGTAGGGGTAATCAATAAAACTTCAACAATATTTATAGGACAGTCCATTTAAATAGAGATGTTTGAGAATTTAATCTGAAAAAAATTTGCACCATTAGTTCCTTTTCCCCTTCATAAATTATGATATTACCATTAGAAATTATAGATTTCCTATATATTTTAAATAAAATGAATTATTCTTTTGTAAAAAATAAATCATACCGAGTATAGTCGATTGTAGAAAGCAAAATACAACTTAACTATTATTTTTCTCTTGCTTAATAATTTAATTTTACAAAATAAAGCATGTAACAGCACTCTTACCAAGATGATACTTTGTATCATTAAAATAAATTTTCAATTTAGAATTATTCTATAGTCTGAATTAAAATGCATATACTAAGAAATGTATGAATCTTCATTATTTTGATTTTGCATTACTCCTCTAATTAGGTAAATAGTCTGACCTAGTATTCTGTAAGGGTCGAGTAAATTTAAGTTTAAAGTATATTTGAACTCGAACCCATCAGTATTTAGAACTTGTCCTAATTTTTATTCAATTCAGATTTGACTCAAAGTTTAAGGATTATATTAATGCCGAAAGATATTAATTTATTTTGCAATTATGTAATAAATTAATAATATTTATTTCTATCCAGATAATAATTACTATTATACCACAGTTCCTAATCAGTCATCCATGGCTTTTTTTACTGATATTTTCACAGTTGTAGCTTATTATTTATATTTGCTAATATACCTACTTATTATTCATTATTATTATTATTTATATACCTTAAGAACTAAACCCAGCACCTCCTTATATGATATTCCATATCCTAACTACTATATTATTTAGTTTTTTTTAATTATTAATTGTTTAACTTATACTTAAAATTGTAATAATAATGTATATTATTATATTTATTGTATAATTCGATGTTTTATTTACAGTATAAAAAAAATTTGTAATACATTAGATATAATTAAAATTTTATTTATAAATTTATTTCTAAGTAATTCTTTAGATATTATTAAAATGTTATTTCTATTTATTTATATTGCATTATTTACTATTATTTATACATTAAAATAATAAATTATTTTTAAATATTAAAAGTAACATTTGAGAAAGTACAATTATGAAATAAAGGTAATTCATTTAAAGAATTTTAAGATAATGTAATTTCCTGAAGAGGAAGTTGCGATTTTGAATTATTATTATTAATTAAATTCCTTTGTAAATTTTCTTTTTCTGATATCAAGTTGATTTATTATCAGTAATGTTAATCAATGTATTTAAGGTATTTAATTGTTGATTTTCATTAACTTTTTTATAAGCTCGAATACCTTAAACACTTTTATGGCTGGTGAGTTGCATAATTGCTTGCTCTAAAACTTCTTGATCTTGTAAAATTTGAGTAGCAGTTTTATGTCTATAATGATTAGAAAGTGATTCAATAGGAATATCAATTTATATTTCATACCTAATCTTTTTCATAAAGTTACTTAATTTGTTTTTTCCTATGTGAACTGTCTTATGCCAATTATTGGTTTTCAATCAAGAAGTATTATTAGGCTGTAAATAAAAATTTTCATCAGCTAAAGGTGAATGTTTAGATAAGTACAATTGAATATCTGAATATAGTCCATTGTTATCAGCTGGTATTAAAATAATATGAGCCTAACCACCTTGAATTCCACATTGATTATTCTTAGTCATATAATAAAAAAATTTCAAATCACCATTTCCATCAAGTTTAAATTGATTAGCAAATATTATTAATAGAAGAAAAAACACGATATAAAAGGCTTTCAAAATTATTTGTAGCCATTTTAAGATGTTATAAAATTTGCTGAATTTGTTAGAAATTAATAGCAACTGAATCTGATATTTCACTAGAGTCTTGTTCTTGGAGATTACGCAACTTTCCATGTAAAATATTATGTAAATCAGGAAATATATATTTGTCATGCAAATTTATTTGTGAAATAGGTGAATGATGAAGAAGATATCTATTAAGCACATCAACACTTTGCTTAACTGATGTTGCTTTGTACTCATTACCATTTTTTATTTTCATTGTAGAGATAAATTCTATAATTTGTTTTTGAAGTTGAGAAATATCTTTAAGGTTAGCTAAAGAGATCAAATAACCAGCACAAGTACGAAATTCTTCAAATTTTGTGGTTTAACTTTTAGTAGATTTTTCAGTATTTTTAACTTTTGCCTTCTCATAATAGTAAGAAGCTTTAATTTATGCAGTGTCTTGAATATTAACATTATTAGAATCATCAAGACAATTTTTTGAATTAAGTAAACTTGTTGCTATTTGAAATTTGGAAGATGAGAAATATTTTTTTTATGTTTTTTACCCATAATAATAATTTAAATAGAAAAATATGAAAGAAAATAATTATCGATAACAAAATTTAACAAAGAAAAAAAACAATTTATCATTCATCAATTATAGTTTAGACTATAGATGTTAGATTCTGTGATATAAACCAGTTATTTCAAGACTACCTGTGAAATAACTATTATGTATATTAATAAACTTGAATAAGTATATTTAATCAAATTAAATAACCACCAATGATTTGTTGCATTTTAATTATTAATTTTTTGGACTTAACAGGTTATATTAAATTAGACTCAAGATTCAAATAATCAGGTCAAATGATCTGGGTCAATTTGAGTACTAGTCAAGTTATTATTTATTAGTTTGTGCAGTGGCTTAAATCCTAATCCTGAATTTAAGCAGATTTGTCTATATTAAATTGTTAAGAAATCAAATTGAAAATTTCATTTGTATAATTATTATTTTCAATAATTACAGGAGAATGCACATTACGCTCTTAAGGAGTAAATGCCTCAATACTAAAGAGCAAATAGCTTAAATATCTTATAATGTCAATTAAATTGTATTTTTGTGATATTAATTTTTTTATTAACAATGATAATTTTTTTTATTGCACGTTTTAGGATTGAAGTGACTTAACATTTTGATTTCATCATTGAAAGTCAATATATAAAATAATCTCATAATTATTTATTTATTTTTTTTTGAGGAGATATAAAACTTTTCATTTTAGATTTATTTGGTTGATTTAATTGATTCTTCAAATAAAAAAAAATTTAAATTAAATATAAATTTTGAATTTTGAATTTGTAAAAATTATACGATATGCATTGAAATTCATTTTCATTTTCAAGATTTCTATATTATTTGAAATCGTTCTAACTTTATTAGTTGATTTATCAATTGAAATATAATGAAAAGAATTAATAATTACTTATATATCACTATCATTAGTTATTATAATTAAAATTGGCTAAATAATATAATTTTTTAATTTTTATTTATTATAAAAAAAGTTTTATAAAGTTTTTATTAATGACAATTTGGATTTTAGCATAATAAAAAATGAATGCATTGTATTGAGAATAAAATTATATAAAATGAGAAAAATAATATTTTTATAATAATTAGAGGGCTGAATAATTATATCAAAACTTCAATGGGTAATCGTCAAAAACTCTACAGTTACTATAGCAATGCATTGATTGATGAATTTTACTATTTCGTGTCAAATTATCTAATCAATGCATTGTTTACCGTGAATTGCGAAGAAATCTCTGATAGTTACTATTAATTATTTGATCTTCTCACTAAGACAAATCCAATGAACTAAATGTCATATTTTGTGATAATATTATTTGTTAAATATTTTTGATAAGGAATGGGATTTGGGATGAGATGGAATTGGAACTTTATCCTATACCCATAAAGTAATATGTAAACAAGTCATATCCAATTTGGGATATTTCAAATTATGTAAAAATTTTTACAACGTTAATTTGTCTTGAGCGAAGCGAAAGAACAATGTAAGTAAAAATTTTTCAGACACGTATGTTTCTTTGTTTGCCACGTAATGATTAACCAATAATTCCTTTTATCACAATGGCTCCTATTTCTTAGGTTGTAATACATTACAATTGATGACTCTATAAATTATAACTTAAGATTATATGTATTTAACAATAATTAAATAAATTAGATAATCAATAATTATTCTATCAATATTAAACTTAAGCGACATTATTTATTTTTGATATATTAATGTTTTCACATTTATAAGAGGTTCCTATTTATTTCAAGCTATTTTACATTTGATTAATGAAATCATTATAAGTAAAGGAATTGCAACTTTTTTTCTAGTTGTTAAAATATTTTAATCAATGACCTTTCTATGATAAGGTGATTTAATTTATGAAGTGATAGAACTTAGTGACTCAGCTGATGCAACATACAGTCAACTCTTGATATAGCGAACTCTTGATATAACGAATTTTTTGAACAAATATAATAAAAATACTCTTGTTATAGCGAATTGGCCAATCAAATCTCTTAAAATCTTCACTATAGCCTTATAGTGAAGTTGAGATCTAAGACATAGAGTTCGATATAACAAGAGTTGACTGTATACTTGATCAATGGAGAAAGTTAATACCTTATTTTTTTATATATTACAAATGTGAAGGATGCAAATGATATTGCAAAAGGATTGACTCTACTTGAAAATTTGAAATATTATGAATACAGTATTTCTTTCTTTTTGATTCAAATTAATATTATCACTAAACTTGTTAATTTTTAATCCATACAAGGTTTTGATCAGAAAATCCACTAGCAAATTTGAATATATAATCTAATAAGTTGTTCGATCTGTTATAACTACTAGATGAGCAGAAATAAAGTGTTCTGCTAATTATATTGAACAATATTCATTCTTTGTTAAGTTTTGGTTACAATTCAAACAGTAATGTTCAGTTAGCTTCTATTAAGATAAACTAGGTAACGGGAACTGTTGAAGTGTCCAAAGCTAAGTGATACAAAAAAAATGTATCACTAAAAAATTGTATCGTGATCATAATTATGTTACGTTATAAATCATAATCAATAAAAAATTTTTCACACACAGTGTTCTTTTTTATATTGCAATAATCGCAATGAAACTTTTATTTTACAATTAATAATCGAACAATAGGTAATTATATATTGTCATTTTGAGGAATTATAGAGATTAACCTTCTTTCTTCAGTTAATCTCTCTTGTAATCTCTTGCAAGTTTTGATACGCTGGAGCCTTTCAAATGAAAATGGTCTAAAAAGAATATTTTGGAGAGCACCAATCTGTGAAATTGCTACGAATGAAAGTCTGGCTATATATTCCTTTTTTCCAAGATCCATCATGACCTTCTGTAAGGTTAACACCTAACTTTTATGTATCGTGATAGATCATGTAAGATAAATGGATACTTGCAAGCGTGAGCAAATTCCTTTTTTTCTCTCTCAGCTATTTCTAATTTGTGAAACTGGAACAAGCCTTTTACCTTCTGCAATAATAATGGCCAAGCCAGAATAATTGACAAATTTTATCAGGACAGCAACAGAAAGTGAAGGAGGAGACTGGTTTTCTTCAAATACAATTTCTTGAACACTCCCTACTGAACTATTGACCAAACCAACTTCTATCCATAAGTTAGTCCTAAGCATAACTCTTGCACCTTTTGCTAACAATAATTGAGCAGAAAGACCTTAGACATATTTAAATTAGCCTTGTGTGCTTTGCTACCACTTATATGAATGGCATTGATTCTGGCGACAGGGCAGTTTAGTGATTTGAGCTTAAAAATATTAAACTCAGCGACATCAAGCTTCTGAGGCATGATGCATATGGCATCCGAAAATTCTGAGATTAGTGCATCAGAAAATCGTCTAGCAAGGACTTTTCAATCATCCAACATAGATTCACTATCTCGCATCCTCATTAATATGGCTCTAAAATTACATTAGGTTGTTCACAAATTTATTTGGATTGGATTGAGTCGACATCTTAATCCAATTCAAATTCACAAATTAAAAATCTGATTTGGATTAGATCGAGTTGAAATAATTGATTGGATTAGATTAGATTTTACTATTAAATTTCCAATTCAGAGTAAAACTACGATTAACGATACTATGCTTGCACTCTACCACTATGATCACTACTGTTATAATAATTACCTAACCATATGTTAATGCTATGTTAAAGTTATCAATTAAGAAAATGAATTTGTATTATGGTAATCTTTCGATACCTTGTGAGTTTGATCTAGTGACAAACTTCAAAAAAGTATTTATTTTTTTTTTGTATAAGATTGATTCAAAGAAATTTGTTAAAAATATTCTGATTGGATTATTAAATTCATACCACTTAACATTAATGAACTTCTTGGTATAAATACTGAATTTTTCATCAAAATTCTAAAATCCCAGTACCTTTTTTTATATAATAATATACATAATGAAATATAAATAAAATATGAAGTAGTATAATTCTTTTCTACCTTAATATGAAAGTATATCCGCTTGGATGTCAGTCAAATGGTTAAAAAAAAATATGATTTTACTGTGAACTTTCCAATTATCTAACAGTCGATAAAATAAGCATTATTATTATTACATTATCTTGCCAAATATACTTCTAAGATCAACATGGTTGACATTATGTTCAATTTCACTTTTTTTTAAAATTTTTTAATCTTATTGTTATCTTTTGTTATAGTTTAACAATAAAGAATGAAAGGAACTTCTAATGAAAAAGAGACCTCTATTAAACTAGACAAAAATAATAAAAAAAGGTTCAGTAGAGTGAAGATTCTATTAAAATATTACTTTTATTTTTAATAGAATGGAAAGTTAAAGTAAATCAAAGTGAGGTGGTAGTGGTAATATAAAAGTGAAACTTTGGCAAGATGCATCTGCTATATTTCTTAATAATAATTACTAATACTTTATTAAACAATGCTCAGTTAAATAGAAAAATATTAAAAAAAATTATAAGGTAATAATTTTACTTTTTATTTAATACTTTAATAATTTATTAAAATATTAACTATTGGTAAGATGATATGGACTATAATAAATAAAGTGGTAATAATCCAATTGAAGTTCAATATAAAGAGGAAGTAGAGAATATTCTTGATAGGAATTATTCTAGTTTAACTCCAAAATCATTGGATAGTAGTTTGGAATTTAATAATGCTAATATTGAAAAAATAACATTCCATTTAATAAAATTACTGGTCAGAATAAATGAAAAAATGAGTCTGAACTAATCTAAGAAAAGCCACAAAAAGCTAATAGATTTGAAGTATAACAGGTTAAAGGAGTATTAGAGGAATTTATCTATCTTAGAAGAGAAGAGCAAGAATACAAAAGAGAAGAATGAAAAAGAAAAGAAATTGAGAGAAAGCAAAAAGATGATCAAAGAAGATATGAGTTTGGTTTACTCATTTCAGCTTTATAATATAGCATTGCCTCAAACTAATAATAGTATATGTTATTTATTATTATAAAATTCACATTTTATTTTCTAATTATTTTTTAATTATTATATTATAGTTCCTTTTTATTACCAATCTACTTCAATTGATTTAATGCAAAATAATATTATGCAAAATAATATTCCACAAATCAATACCATACAAATCGATAATACTACGCAAATCAAAAGTACTATACAAATTGATAATACCATCAACATCAATACTTTACATATTAGAAGTCTTTCACCCCTACATTTTGATGAATTTTAATATATTTTAAAAAACATAATAAAATAAAGTTTAAATCATAAAATTTATAAAGTAAAATTATTTATTTTATTTGGATGTTTCACTATCTCCTTTATCTCCTTCACCAATAAAATTGTATCTATTTCTTCTAACATCTATTTGAATTTTTTTATTCCATAGATAATTCGCTAAATTATCTCTAATAGAATTAGTCAAATAAGTTACACTATTGATATTATTATTATCTAATAAAGTTTGAAAATTATTTTGATCATCAAAATAATCGTTATCATCTAATATATCTTCTTGCCTTTCTTTATAAGTATTATGAAGAATATAAGTTACTGTTACAATAAGAATGGCTATTTCTATTAACATTGTTAAAGGATTAATTAAATACCTAAATCTTGATTTTAATCTTCCAAATGCTTGTTCTACACCTATATGAGTTTGAGAATATTTGACATTATAATATGTTTGTATTGCTGTTAATCTTCCATTATCACGATATGGTGTAAGTAATCAATTTTGACAAGGATAACCTGAATCGCCTAAAATATATGCATTTGTAAGAATAACTGAAGAACTAAAAGAACTAAATTTATGATATAATGGTGAATTATGAAATATTCTACTATCATAAGTTGAGCTAGGATATCTCACAAAAATATTAATAAACTTTTCAGAAGAATCGATAACTACTTATAAAACAATAGAATAAAAACCTTTTCTATTATAATAATCCATAGGATATTGTTTAGGTGCTTTAATTAGAATATAACTTCCATCAATTGCTCTTACTGCATATGGAATACCAGCTTTTCTTTTAAATTTTCTTGCAATTTTACTGAATTCAACATGATTATTAGAAAATTTATTAAATTTAAAAGAATATTAAAATATTTTAATTATCAAAATAATAAATTTAATTAACTATTTTCTTACTGAATTTTTGATGAAAGAAAGTAACATTTAATTGTATATAAAACAGATCTAATAATATAGTATATAGTTGATTTTCCTAATGCAAATAATTGTCCAAGTGTTCTATAACTTTGACCAATAGCTAAAAACCATAAAGTTAATGAAATTTTATGTTTAATTAGAATTCTTGAGGCGCATCTTTGATTATTTCTTTGTAATAATAAAGATGCTATTTCAGTATATAACCATTCAAATGTAGTTTTTGTTATTCTAAAATGCCACTTAAATTCTACATTTTTCCAATTATTACATATGTTATTAAACTAACAAATACTACATGTCCTTCTTGCTCACCTATAACCTATTCTTAAAGAACTATTTCTTTCAATAACACTTATGCATTCATGAAAGATTGATAAATCAATGTTATCATCAGATGTTTCTTCAGAAGAAGAGTCAATTTGGTTTAAAAAAATTAGATATACAAGTGAAAGAATTATAATATGTCTTTGAATATTCATTGTTCAAATTTTTATTTAATTAAAATAATGTTAACTCTTTTTTTATAATGTTATACAAAAATTCATAATCTGATCTATTTATTTGTGAATACAGATTAGATTATATAAAAATCTAATCTAATTTAAATGGATTAGAAAATCTAATCTAATCCAATCTAATTGAATTTGTGAACACACCCAATGCTAGAGAAGTGAATGAAATATATGATGTCACTAAAGAGAGAGGGAATATGCAGATCCTACTGTGTGAAACCTCTATAATCAACAATCAAATTAGCATAACAAAAATTTGTAAAACTTAAAAAATAAAAATTAAATTTAAAATGTTATTTAATAGAAATAATAAACAACACTAAAGTTTTCTAATTATTGGTTAATTTTTTATATAATTGGATATTTAAAAAGTTATATCGATTTAAAGTAGTACCGATTTTACTATAAAATTGACAAATTTGAGACTATGAAAATTTGTATAATGATACAATTTCTATATCAATCGATAGCCTTCAGTAGTTTGTATCAGGGATGATGATTTCTGATGATGCATATTACAGAAACATATGATATTCAACATTTATTTTACATATTAAGTTAGTTTTTTTTTGGTAAAATAAAAAAAGGTAGTTTTCATATTTTCCATAAATACTTGCATCCTGATATTCTTTGAGCGGTGGAGGAATTTGTTTATAATTATTTAACAAAGTTAAATATAATAACTTTAATAAAGAAATTCATTATTTTGATAAATTTTTAAAAAATCTTATAACAACTTAAATATGATTAACTTAAATAAATTCTGAAAGAGCTTATGATTATAATTGCTTCCTTCCTTTCATCACGAAGTTAATCAAATGTTTATCTTATACTTATTAAATAGCAATTAATCATAAGCATTTAAAATTTGTATTTATCAAATAGTTAATATTCTATATATGCTTATTTGTATTTAAAACAAGCATTTATTTATTGTTGTAAAATAATATAAACAAAATATTAAATATAAATGCCTTACAATTACTATTTAAGAAAATACTTAAAAAATGCTTAAATTTAATATTTATTAATTACTATAAAAAAAATATTAATTAAGTATTCAAAATTATTATTTAAAATGTATTTTATAATCAAGCATTTATTTAATAATATTCAATATATTTGTTTACATAAAAGATTTCCAGTTCATTAAACTTTGGTATAATGTATACTATATTTGCAATTGAAGCAATAGGAATCAAAGTGTAATGCTCGACATGTTTAAGAATTACGCACTTGTAAAAATAATGTTATTGTTCATTAGTTGGATATGCAAAATCATACCAGTAAACAAGTGCAGTTCAAGATTCTGCTCCAATTTTGTTGAAGTAACTCGAAGAATAAGAAGAACCTAAAAAAATAATAAAAAGTAAATGCTATAATAATAAAATGGTTTTTATTTATTAATACATACCTTTGCATAACATAAGCCATTATTTGTTAAATAATCGTCTTGTTCTGCTTTATCTATTTTAACACAAATATCAGAGAAGGCTGCTTGTCTATAATAATTAGAAGATGCATGAACAACCATTCTATTATCATTATCTAAGTATGCAAACTCAAATACTTCAATTTGAACTGTTTCGTTGTCAATATCTTATAGTGACCAATTTTCGATATTCTGAAGATAATCATAAATACAAGGTTTAAGTTGTTTGAAACCACATATCCATAACTTGTTTAGGTTTTATACATTTGCCAGTTGATTTATGATTCGATCAATTATATGTTGTGTCATCTTCTCAATAACTTTTTTTGATGTAATTCCATTGTAAACCTTCTTGTATGATCGTGATTGAATCTTTAATAAAGATATAAAGATATTTTGATGACATACCTTTAAAAAAAATATTATTAAATATAATTAGAGTAATATAATACCAGAAAATAATACTTATAGTTAATTGCATTTGTGTATTCACATGATGCTTATTTGTCATGCGATATGGCTGTTTAACATTAATTTTATGCAGTAATTCATATATTTCACTTGTAAATCCATTAATAGCCCCGAACTGACGAATTGATAATATTAAATGATATCGCTAACTGTGTAGCTTCGGTAAATTTAAATTAGATGGTGAGAACTTTGACATAATTTTAATAAATAAGTCACACCATGTAATTATTGATTTCTATTATTAAAAAATTAGTTATATTATATTTTTATTAATAAATTATCAAATTACTTATTATTAATAAACTTGCCTCAAATTCACGAAGATCTACTTCAGTATATCTGGGTTGATAGCTCCATATATACATATCAATCCACAATGAATATAGTTCGCATATATTCTCATTAAGCTTTTTATCTGATATTAGATCATCCAAGACAAATAACATAACCTTCATCAAATCACGATACTTGGCTGCAGTTAATTGTGTAAGCCTTTCAAATCCATTTTTAAAAACCTTTAGATTCAGATAACGGGGAATTTGAGAAAGGCGTTCCTCAAGAATTCTTATTAAGCTGTTATTATACTTGGAATTCAGTAATTCGACCGTAAATTGTAATTGATACTGAAAAAGCCTGAGATCTGCATGATGTATACGATCGGATATACACATAGTATAAATATTAAAATATCTATTAAATATAAAATTATTTATTAGCTTTAAAGGTTCATCAACCAACCAATCTATCGTATCGATCATTTTGACCAGCATTAATAAATCTCATGATTACAAAAACACTTACGGTCGTTTTCACAAAGCATTCCTTATATTATATACTGAGATTGCCTTATCTTTACCACAACGTAAAGCATTCTTAGTATCATTTTCATTACGAATATGAATATCTTCTTTTGCAATATGAACATCATTCATCATATTACGTTCCACCAAACAGAAATGATATGGATGTAAAAAATTTGGTGAACCATAAACGCCACACATCATGCACGCTTCAGGCCAATCTGCAATTATAAATGCCAAATATGGATAGAACCACATAAGACTACCATTGACATACAAATGGATTCCTGTATTACTTAAGATTCTCAATGGTCTCAATATAGTCGCAAGTACATAGTGAAAGAGTTCGCGTGATGCTGTTCGAAATTGTGTTGAATGTTTCTTATATGTATTATTATATTCGAGATTAGGTATATAGCCGAGTAAAATTTTGGCATCAACCTTATTACGACGAGCTAAAGGAATATTTCTGATTGTCATAAATATTAGATGTCGCGATATTTTGCCCAAGTTGTCACAAAGAGTACCATCAGCATACAATATAACTGGCATTACGTGTGCTCCTATTGGAAGATTTTGCTCTACGTTTCTCCACCAATTAGAATCATATATATCCGTGTATTGACGTTGATTCAATGTCTTTGGTCACAAATTACCGTAAACGGTTGACTAAAGTACCCAGGTATTTTACCAATTCGTGAAGTTGGAAGGGTACTATACTACAAGGAGTACTTTGGTCTAAGGGAGAGGGTACTACGCTATACCATATAAGGTCTATTATTTGAATTTAAATTAACCAATAAGAAGTTTAAATATTTGCATGCATATAGCATAGCTTAGTTTTTTAAAAAATTTTTTTAAACGAAAATTTTTTTTTTTAAATGAAACTTTTTTTCGTAATTTAAGAATTTCTAACGATTTTATCATTTATCGTAATCGCCGATCATTTTATAACCAAAATGATATATCATAAAGCGCGTTTTAAAACCTTTTTTTTGTTTCACGTTTTAACTTTTATTTTTTTTATCTTTCCCTTTTCATTTTTTTTTGATATAGTTGTTCACTGAAATAAACCTGCTAATAAAAGAACAAGAGTAACAACAAAACAAAGAAGACAATAGTGTGCTAGAGAAAAGTTACTTGTAATAAAGCATGCAGAACAATGTGAAAGTAAACGTTTAACTGCAAAACGATTTTAAATAGAACTAAAGCAAGTTCGAGACTGGATAAATCAAAAATCAAACTTGAAAATGCAGCACCATATATTCAAAAATTACATAAAGGCAAAAGTCCAGCTTTTCCAGAACTTGAAAAAGAGCTTTCTTTATGGGTGATTGATCTGCGTAAAGCTGCAAAAGCTGTTACGCGAAATATGGTAGTTAGAAAAGCAAAATTATTTGCTAATGAAAAAAAATGGATAGATCTTTATGCAGATATTAAAGAATTTAAATTTTCGGAAGCATGGTTAGAGGGATTTATGAAAAGATACAATTTTGCTACAAGAAGAAGAACTCATATTGCTCAACATCTTCCTGAAAATCTTTTAGAAAAGCAGCAAAACTTTTTAGCTTTTATTTTATACAGGCGCATCCAATATGACTATCCATTAAAATACATTGGTAATATGGATGAAACTCCTGTTACCTTTGATTTACCTTATTCAACTACTTTGGATCATCATGGTACTTCAACCGTTAATATACAAACAACAGGTCACGAAAAGTCAAACTTTACAGTTATTTTAGGATGTATAGCTGATGGTACAAAATTACCAGTAGTTTGTATTTTCAAACTTAAAAATATTCCAAGAGAATCATTTTCTAAAGGAATTTTTATTCGTGTAAATGATAAAGGATGGTGTAATGAACAAGAAATGCTCTGGTAGATTGAGAATGTATGGACTTAAAGAAATTTATTAAATAATCTAAGATTTTTACTAGTTTTAGACTCTTTTCGGGGACATCTTGTGGATTCAGTAAAAAATAGGTTTAATGAAAAACAAACAAATATTGCAGTTATTCCTGGTGGGTTTACAAGTAAATTACAACCATTAGATGTAGCAATTAACAAAGTTTTAAAGCAAATCTACGTCAATATTACAATAATTGGATGAGTTCTGAGGTTTATGAATTAACACCTTCTGGAAGAATCAAAAAACCTTCATATGCTAATGTTGCGAATTGGATAAAAAGATCATGGGATGATATTGATATTAATTTGATTCAAAAATCATTTAAATGTTGTGGTATTTCTATTGCTAGA